AAGATTTCATCAAAATTGTTTTTGCGCACATCACAATAATTATATTACATTATAAATTGTAACTCTGAGTTAGTGGAAATATTCCATCCATGTGTTATATATAGTACAACTATGAATTCATTTATTTCAAGTTTACCAAATGAAGAGCAGAGAGGAAAACATATATATCCAGGGAATATTCCCTCTCTGCATTTTTTGTCATGTGAGACAGTCATACATTATGATTTTGATGGTCCATAATCTTGCCCTTCCCCCACATCTTGATATGTGACCAGCAAAGTGTAAAAGAACATACAAATCCACTGGATTAGAAATGGGCATTTGCCCAATCAAGCAAACTCTTTCGGATTTTGATGCCCTCTCCAACATAACTAATATCCCAAGGGAAGGCAATAAGCATTGATTCCAAAAAAGAAAGCTCAGAAATTTCTATCCCGTGTCCAAAGCAAATGAAAAGGGTACCAACCGTATTTTACGGTCTGCTTTAATAGATGTGCTCTAGATATTTGATTTTTAGTTATAATGACAGTGGTTTGCAATGTTAAGGAAGGGTTCATAGCAGTAATCGAAGATACAAGCTCCAACAGCAAAACTGAAATCAAAATACTCAATAAAAAAACAGAATTAGAAGGTTTTATGGTGAATGTTGAATTCTCGGTGAGAGTTTGACAGATGTAACATACTCCTGGGGTTTAGATCACCCAATAACATACTTCAGCTATATGCGCACAGTCTATGGCACAAAGAAAATGTGTATACTATATAGCACATCTTCACATATTTTATGTTCTTTTTATATATGTTTACTCATACATTCCTAAGAACAAAAATTAGCAAATGTTTTGAGAGGAAAAAGTCTTATAATAGTTAACCTCTCATACTATAAACCTTTAAATGTGGAATATCTAACAGAAATTTAAAATTATTTTCAAAATTATCCTTAAAAGTTTTATCAACTGTGAAATAAATAGCTGAAAACTAATTCATGAAAAAACTAATTCGAGGCTGTTATGTAATTCTGTGGAATATAACAATCAAATGAGTGTCAGCAGACAAATCAACTGCAGGGTCACATTGAAATCAATGTCTTGAACACCCATGATTTTCTTTTCCCTAATGCAGGAGTACTGAAATTAATTTTAACACCTCTCCAACTGAGATCCTTGAACTGAAAAAGGACTGTTAACAGGGCCTACATAGCTTTAATTGCTCGTTGAATTAAATTTGCTGAGTTTGTTTTATTCACTATATCCTAAATGTTAAATATGTTTTAAGTAACAGTAGTAAATATAGGTCATTCACAGGATGCAGCTAAAAACATAATTAAAATGCTTTTTCTCAATTGAGACATAAAAATTCTGTAAAACAATGAAGTAAGGTATCCTGCCACCTTTGTGTACGAACAAAATGAGGCCAGTTGACACAGAAAATATAATCTGATAATCATTTAATCTTTTTGCAGTTTAATTATTTGCATATGTTGTGCATTCATGTGAAAGTGCAATACTGTCCACATTACTCCAAGAATTATTGTAACTTAACTGCACGTTTAATATGTTGTACACCTTCTGACTGCTTTGGTGATAATTTCCATATTTTCTCTGAATATCATTTGTGTTGTGTTCATTCACAGATTTTTATTGCAAGGCCTAAGTAGCTTTGGAGTCAGGAATCAGAAAAAAAACTACAGGACAGATCCAAAAGTGAAAGTAGAAAAAGGCAAATTTTGGGATCAAAGGACATGAAATAGAAAAATTCCAAATCTGTATACAGCAGAAGCAACAAAAAGTGAAGTTAAAAGCTTTAGTACAGAACATAACTTCCTAAAGAACAGAGGCTAAACATGGAGTGTCAATACCATCATTGCTGATGCCCACGTAGAAGAAAAAGTTTCTAAACAAATTTTGTGAAGAGGAGAACAAAAAGGAAAAGTTGGCTTGGTTCATGAAGGGGCCGTCCCTCCGAATCACGGAATAGTGAGTGAGACAGAGACAGAGGAAAGAGCACTCACACATTTCACTGGATCATCGGGAGCGCCCTCGGCGGGAATGAGCGCGTGGACGCGTACCAAAATTTTTTTCGAGGCGCGGGCACGAGGAGGGATGGACACGTGATGCCGAGGATGGTGTGTGTTTGGTTCTGGGGGGGGAGGTGGTGGTTGAACGAGCGAGCGAGGCAGAGAGTCAGCCTGAGTACCGGAGTGTTATCGGGGAATAGGAAGCGGCCAGTGCACGGAGGCTGCACCTAGAGCGCAGGCAGCGCCAGGTAGGAGCGCAGCGGAGTATAGGATGGCGCAGGGGAGGGGGTATGAGTCAATCAGTAGGGTTAGAATAAAGGGCTTTAAGGGGATGAGTGCAAACACTACAGGAGAGTGAGAGGCAGGTCAGTTACAGGGACGGGGGTGGGGGGGTGGGTGTGTGTGTATATATATATATATATATATAAATATAAATATAAATAATTCTTGTTTGTGGCACTTAACAGAATCCGTGGATTTGTTGAAACTTGCTTTGGTGTCTTTATTAAAGTGAGGCTTTTTTTTTGTTTGTTGTCCATCGTTGTTGTTGTAAGTCACTATGATTCGAAAGGTCGTCCTCGCCTGACGAAACGGGTACTTTTGGTGCCCTGCTGATTGCAAACACATCAGTAACGGCTCTAAACAGAAAGGGAAGGGAAGGGAAGGGGAGGGGAGATGGGGTGGGGAATAAAGTCAACGGAAGATTCGGCTTCAGATACAGAAATCATCTGGGGTTTTTGTTTCCTCTATTATTATAGAGGTGCAAAACAAATCGGAACTTTTGCAATTATAGGGAATGAAAGACCAGATCTGATCCGGCCGCGTTCTGCCTCTTGTGCAACAGAAAGAGAGATAATAAGAGGTAGAGTTTAAGATGAAGGGAATTTTAACAGTGAACTGCGGCATGAAGCTCTAAGGCTGGCTTGTTAGTCATTATGAAAGTTCATTGATCGCTGTCAGTTTCTTTTTGTTTCGTTTGGGTTGCGTTTAGGTCCTCAGTGGGCGATGTTTTCTGCGCGATACAGATTGTATATGGCGATCAATACATCAACCACAAACGAATAACTTGTAATTACAGATTTTTTTCTATATTTATCGGGGATGGGTGGGTGGTGGTGAACTTAACAGGGCGTTCCATTTATTAATTGCTTCCATATCGTATGGTGACGATTGCTGTAAGTTGTTCCCTGTTTTGGGATTCATCAGGATATTATTGTTTTTCCAAAAAAAAAATCAGAATAACGTCGAACTTTTATTCTCCAAAGCAGTTCGACTGAAGATTGTCGTCTTCACACACTTCGTTTTTATTCTAATCAGCAACTCCCGGATCACATGGTCCAAGATTATGTTGACTGTTGGTCGTTTACTTATCTGGTGAAGATTTTTTTTTGAAAAGGAACTTTTTAAATGGCTTTTTTTTAATACGTAAAGTATCTCTTGAATAGTATCTACGAATTCGGTTGAAAATTGAAGGTTATTCAGACTTTATCTGCTTGAAGCAGGCAGTGACTTGCTGACTAATACCATGACGGTATGGTTGGGGGTTGTTAGAGAAAAGGTATCAAGCACAATGACATGACAATAGCCTGAATGCCTTCACGCCATGTTTAGACATGTGTGCTGAAAGTCCCTTTTGAACTGAATTGTAGTTTTTTCTCCCTCCAACGTAATGAGGAAAAACGTATAGAGGTATTTAAAAGTACTCTCATTAGCCCTATTTGGTAGAATGTAACTTACTGCTAAATACTTGTATGTTGCAAAAAAAAGTCTCCATATTTCTTTTGTTCATTCTTGATTGCCTTCTTGTAAGAATAGAAACTCTGCTATAGAATGTTAAACTATTGAAATAACTTTTTTATTTAGTTTTATTTTCAGTTCTGTGATTATTTTAACTTTTAACTAAAATGTTGGATGGAAGATCCCTTTTAAATTGCAATTTGTACTTGTCCAATTTAATATTGGGGAATAGAAATAAAAAGTATTTACATTTTTGTAATAGAAATGATTATTTATAAAATTACTTCAAGCACAGTACTAACAGGTTGTCTCGGAATACATTTCACCCTAAACCAAGGGACTACATTGTGGATTGGGCTAATAATTAGTTACTAATTGACTGACTGAAACCAGGACTGCTGGACAAATGTTCCCTGGCAAGGAATAAAGTACTTGGTCAAGCTTACCTGAAATGAGAGACTAGAAAAGTTCCAAATAAGTTGTTGCATTTGTCTTTTTTTTTGCCTTTCTCTCTGCAACCTTGATTGGAACTTTTAGTCTTTTTAACAAAGGTCAATGGCAGCTAGCTGGCTCTCCTTCAGGGACTGAATGTTTTTGAAAATGTCTCAAGGTTGATTTTTTTTGTGTACTTTTTGCAGTTGGCTTGCTTGATGTGTTTAATTGAAATGTTTGTTTTGGGAATAGTGGATTGAGATTTCAATACTGTACTTGATTGCTGACTGCACACATGCAGTACAGATGAAAGAGCTATCAAGTAACTCAAATGGCATTCAATGGTTCTGTGTTGAAATTTTACATATTTAGGCTATATATTTCTATCACCATATCAAATTAAAATGACTTGGACCAGATAATTTCATGTTTAAGTAAAGAAAATATAATGCCTAGGATTATTCCAATGATTCCATGAATGAAAATGAGCTGTTTGATGTTTTAAAAGGACCTTTGACCACTGAATGCTTACATGAAGTTTTGCAATACATGAACTTCAGCTTCTGATCTGCACTCTGTTGCATACCAGTTCTTCAAGGGAATCATGTCAATTTTAAAATCTCATTGAAAAATAATCTAAGGAACTTTAGTAACTAATAGTACTGAAAGATATCATGCCAAAAACAAATTATTGGAGTGAGCAATTGTAAGGATTTTAAATAATCATAATTGTGCAGTGAGAAAATGTACCAGGAAGTGAAAAACAGTATTTATCTTGTGAATTCAGTCATGTGTAATACAAAAATGGTAAAGCCTTTTGTCCCTAAAATGGTATAGCTTTTCCATTTCCTTTTTTAAATGACTTAACATTTCTGTATATCCCTTTTCAACATGTGTAGAGGAAGTTCTTGGGCATTTATTTTCTGATACTAATGCTTCAAAAATTAGGCTACATACAGAAGGCAACAGGATTTTGTAAGCAAGCAGTTTAGGCATTGTATTGATTCTCAACTGTATTTCAGAGGGGAAAAAAATACTTCAATGGCAGATAGTCATAACTTATCTTCCTTACCACCACCACAACTTTAAAGTTGAGGACTTTTTCCAGTATGATTCATTGGTCAAGGAAGTGCTGCATTTGTTTATCATGATGTTGAAACTGATATCCTCCACAGGCAGAATAATGATCACAGCAGCAGTATTGTTTCAGAAGCCCTAGAAAAAGGTTAATCTGAACCTCGTATATGGTGGGGAATTGAAGTGTTGGCTTTTTTTGGCAGTGAATTCAGTTGGCCACTGGCCTTTGTTTAACTATTATCCTTTTGATTATTCAAAGTTCTGCAATTTGAGATTTTTTTTCAGGTGAAATATAGCAGAACAACTTTTGATCTTATGTCAGCTGTATACGGTTGCATAACAAAGATCCAAATCTGTTTTTTATGTCAGCTTCTTACAAGTTCATTGTAAATATAAATTCCTGGTTTCCTGCTGAGAAGTAATATTTTACAATTGAGAAATCAAGGCTTCTAAAATGGTCTGAGTCATAAAGCAGAATGCAATTCAGTATGGTAAGCAAAGTATGCTTTCTGTTGTGTGGTTTTATATGCTCTTTTTTCAGTCTGGGTTTTGTTACTGTATCCAAGTACAGTTGGTTTTGTAATATCTTGTAGTTTGAAACAGCAATCAGCTTTTGTTGAAGGTGAGACTTGTAAAACACCAAGGAATGTGTGGAATCAATTTTACTGCCTGTTAAAGTACAGTTCTTTTATTTGAGGATGATTTGCCTACAAAGGAAGAAAAAAGTTGTGGGCAACCTGATTAAAGGCTTGTTTTTGAAAATAGGTACTTTGTTAGACACCTTGCTTTTCATATTTTTTTACAAGAAACAAATTTCTAAATTGCCTGATTTGTGCAGGCTATTATTTAGTGGGTTGCTTTGTATAAGTAGAAGTGGTTACTAGGCTAGTGGCTGTTTCCCACCCTTCCTTTCAGAGCTGATTTTGATATACAGGCAGCCTCCTGTGTTGTGCCGTTAAACTAAAAGCCACATCTGTGCTTCACATTAGGCATGTCAGACTGCCTGTTGGGCTTGTGGATTGTGACCTTGATGACTTTGTACACTTATTGAAAATTTAGATAAGTCTTTACTCGTTATGGATTGCATTGATATTAGTATTACACGTACATCCTGTATCACATGGGGTTGTTGGACTTAAACAGTTCCTTAAATTAGAGACTTAGACTATTGCCTTTTAACAGCCCTAGATCATGTTTTGTAGCAGTATGTCTCTTCGTAAGCAGTTAGTGGCTGGTTGTTATGTGTTATTGCTTTGTGCTAGTTCACCTTGTACTATGTGTTCCAGTCGATCTTGCTTTAATAACTTTTTTTTTTAAAAAAGTGTCCATTTAGTGTTTTAGCTGCCAACAAATTGAAAGAGCAACTGATAAATGTGCAGTGAGCACAATATGCCTGTAATGTTAAGATTTGGTTGATTGAGCTTCTGCTGTGCTTCTATTTTTGTGGATAAAACAATAGGAAATTTATATCACAGACAAGAAGCAACCCCACCCACTTTTCTATTTGGTGAAATGACTTGTGCAAACTGCATACAGGTTGAACAAGAAAAAGAGCCTATTAAACTAATTGCTTAAAATGGCTTTTTAAAAAATTTGTACTAGGGTTCAATCTTGCTTATGACTTTCCCCTGAAGTTGCAGTGTGTGATGGAGTGTTTCGAAGGTGAATGGGAGTGTACTAAAACCTCTGCAGGTTACACATGTAGTACAAATGAATGAATTACTGTGTAGTTAGTGATTCTAATTCAGTCTTGCCATTGTAAGAAAAGGAGTGTGATACATGTCATCCAGTACTTAAAATATTCAATAGCAATAGTGGATACTTCACCAATAGCTTATTTGATAAAGCTACTGCATAGTTGAGCCAAACAGAATTGGGATTAGGCCATTATGGTCTAATTTTGTTTTAGGATTTTCTTTGTAAGGTTCTTTATTTTGTTAGACACTTGCTTGTGTATTTGTTGAATTGGTTGGGATCAACTAATTCAGCACCGGCATAAACAAGGTGACTGTACAAGTGCTTAAATTGACCTCTGCCTCCTTGGGTTATGGAGGGAAATAAAACAGTTTTTCTTATTTTTGATGGTGTCCAATAGAAAGTATGCATTTATAGATGTTGGGCAAGGAGTGGGATTTTACTGAATTGTGGTACTTCAACAGGTTGGTAGTGAACACACCCCAAAAGAAACTGATGCTTTCAGAAGAGAGGAGTGGATTGTGATTAAAAATTGTCCGACTAAAATAGGCAAGCTGAAGTTTATTTATGCTTCACTTCCTTTCAAAACAACAATATTCCTGGAAATGGGCAAAAATATTTCCAGTAAAACTTATTCAAACAAAAACTTAGATATCTAAACCCTCTGTCATGTAGTTACTTGCAAATGAGAAATTTAAAGAATAGGTAATGCCTAAAAGTAAATAGAAAATCTTCATCAGTGGTGTAGACTTATTTAAGCATCCAGTTAATATTTTTAGTCAGTTTGGTAGTTTTTATTCGTGTCCAGTGACCATTCTACCTCACTACCTTTCATGAATGATGCCACCTCAAATACAATTTTCTCTGGGCAACAAATGTTAGTCATGTCAGCAATGCCCATGTCCCATGAAAGAATTTTTAAAAAACTCATCTAAATGACACCATTGTATCTTGACTGGCAGTAGCCCTAGAAATGTTACTAGTAAGCACCAGCAGTACAAACTTATCCCATCTTGAATTCTTCTGGCATACAATGATAATGTTAATGGACACGTGAAATGCTGTGTGCTTGTAGTCCAATCGTCGTCACTTGTTTCGAAAAAGGAACTGGTCAAACAAAAGTCTCAAACAAACTTTCTATGAGCAGCCACCAAGGTGTTTAATACGAGACTGCCAGCTGAGTAAACTTCTTGTGTTGTGATAAATCTATAGCTCCTGTGCATACCTGCCATTTATCGTACTATATATATAAAACAACCAAAATGGTCTGTCTACATAATTCTAATCAAATAGATTTTTTTGTGTATTTCCCCTGTTTGAGTATCATCACTTTTGTGTAGATTTGAGCAGTAAAGCTGCAGATGTGACCACAGCGTTGCAGCAAATGTCAGGAGACTTTCTTTCTCTTTCAAATTAAGTATCGCTAAACCAGCAAATGCTAGTATTTTTGTACCTTTTTTTTAGTCTTGCAAAATCTCATCCGTTTGCATCACAACTGAATAAGACTGGCATGGTAGCTTTAGGTTACTTAAACTTCCCTTACTGCCTTGATAGCAACTTCCTCTCCTATCCTTTGATCTTCAGTTTCAGATATTGACTGCTATAACATTTTCTCTGCTTATGTGTAACAGCTTGCTCCCTCAGCGTTCTCTTTGCAGCTTTGAGATATTCTCACAGTCTGGTAGGCACTACATGCAAATGCTACAATCTCTTTTCCCCACAGTTAGAAACATTGAGGGTAATATGTTAATGGTGATTATGATGGCTAGAGCATGACCTGTCTACAAAGAAAGTAATAATTTCCTAGAAAATGAAAGACATAGGCATTATATCCAGTTCTTTTTTAAGAACATTTTTTCCATGATAGATACGTTTTTAGATATTGGTGTTCTTAATGTCTAGTGCTCCTACTCATTTTTTTAGATTTACAGTGAATCAACATTTCAAGCTTGTTCTCAGTAATATTCTGAAATTAGATTTTGTGCTGTGTCCTGACCTGAATGTGTTCACTTAATCATATCTGAGTAAGATTCCACAAGCTCTGTGCATTCTGACAACTTGCTTAGTGATTGGTTATTTACTGTGAAAGCTTATGCATAAATACTGGCCGACCATTTTATCATGGAGGATATTACAACCAAGCCTGGTTTTTAGATTCCATCCTCTCCTGATGGTCATAAAAGTGTAGTAAAAGGAGGAGTTGTTGGATCATAGTCTGGAGTTGTGACCCTGGGTAATTCTTTCTCCTAAGAAAGCTAATTTCTGCATTCCTGCCATATCAATTGAGAAACCAACTAAGATGATATCCAGGGTATTGAATGATAAGTCATCTTCTCTGTCTGACTAAACTCACTGAGCTAGTGTAAACTCATTCAGCCCATGTAAATGTAAGTTGTTGGATAGTATTCAATAGCATTACATCCAATAGGGCAGTAATTCAGTGTTTAGTAATTCACTCCTGTGTGTGACATGGAATTTGTGGCTATTGTGGACATGTGTAAGTGGTGTCCATTTAACAAGTTTCTAATTAAGTTTCCATGGAATGTGGGAATCTCTGTCAAGATCAGCATTTGTTGCCCATCGCTAATAGTAAATTTTGCTGAATGTAAGTTTGGTACACGAGCCTATTAATCTGCTATGTTTACTGTTAATTCTGTACTTTGTTCGATGCATCTGAACCAGCATTTGAGGTGTGTGCATTGGTAGTTTGGACCTTGCAATCAGCAGAATCACAGAACTGCTTGGAGATTTAACTGTCACAGTACCTGTAGTTTAATCAGTATACTTTAGGGAAGGTACATTTAAAAATCAATAATATTTTTAAAGTTCTTAGAACTTAAGCAATATCTCTACTAATTGCTCTGCCTTAAAGCTGTTAGATTTGGCTACAGTGTGAAGAGGAGTGACAGTATTTTTATCAAGGTTGAATTACTGTAATTTTTTTGTAGAAAAGTTTTTCTGGTCTTTGGAAAAGCTGACAGGTAGGTTATACATCAGTGAGGGGCTTGTCACCGAGAAGATGTATGGTCTAGGATATGTTACAAGATTGTAGTAACTAGTTTGGACATTGTCTGAACCATACTGGGCACAAGATGGTAGTGAATCTGTAGACTTACTTACTGCAGAGGGCTGTTGAGGCTGGGTCATTGGGTATATTCAAGGCTGAGATAGACTGATTTTAATCAGTAAGAGAATCGAGTTATTGGGGGGAAGAAATTGGAAATTGGAGTTGATTATCAGATCAGCCATGATGTCATTGAATGACAGAACAGACACGATGGGCTAAATGGCCTATTTCTCTGCTACTACGTCTTTATGGTTTCACTCATTCTCCTCTTAAGATTGCATTGACTTGTGGTGTATGCTGGTGCTGTTGTGAGAATGCCAATGTTTATTGGTTCATGGGCAGCAAAGTCTTAATAAAAGCAAAAGGCTAAAAGACTGCTTTACATTCGTGTTGTATCAAAACAGCTGAAATTGAAACAATGGATTGAAGCTACTTATGACCAGCGTGTGATTTCACCACCACCATGCCCCCCCCCCCCCCACGGTGATTTTTGTATATCTTACACCACACACAAGGTCACCGTACAGGCTTAGTGCAAATGTCGATATGTGCTACACTTAAACAAGTATTATAAAATGATACAGTATAACATTATATTCATGATCTTTTAATCTTATTAAATATCTTGAGCTGTCTTGAACCTCCTGCTGAGAGTCGGGAATAAATAGATTCTAGTTGGGGCTGTAGGGATTTGTTTGAGGTTGAGTTAGAGTGTTGGTCCGCTAATGATGTAATTATTGTAATACATTCGACTGTGGTGATTTTAAAGGAATTTTGTTCTTGGGCTTTTTATGGTGTGGTTGAAGGAAGGACAGTGATCACAAAATGGCTCAAATTATATTCTGAAATAAATTATTGCGGCACTTGCACAAAAGCAGCACTGAACTCCGGGAGGCTTGTTCTGGGCAAATCATTGCAGTTTTTAATCTGTTATTTTGTGTGTTGTCTTCAGTATGAAACAAGTGGAATTGACTAATAATCTGAGGAAACAGAACTGAACTTTGCAAAATGGGAATTTTAGACCTAAGAAAAACTTAAACCTGACAACTTTGGAAGTTAAATTTGGATTTTTAAAAATCCTTTTTAAAGCTGTATTTAGCTGACTTGTCTGCATTTCACGCTGCAGTCTAAATGTTTCTATTGATTTTTGTGAATGACCGACTGATGCTGTAGAGAAAATATTGTTGTGAGTTGAACCACCAGGTGAAACATTCACATGGTGTGATACCAAAAAATACTATGATCACTAAATTTGGTTCCAGTTCTACAATTAAGTAAGCAGCTCTTTGCAACAAAAGCACAATAACGTAGTCTCTTGCATCCTTGGGCATTTGAGTAGGACAGGAGTAGGGAGTTGGTGTGAGGGGAAAGCACGAAATAGGGCAGGTTTCTCCCTCTTGACTGATGTGCGGTAGGTAGAGAAGTGCAGTTGGTTGGGATGCTGTCAACAATCTGGCTTGCTGACAGCTGTGAGTATTGATCATAATGGGATCATGTGTGTGTGATTTTCCTTGAGTTCCACGTGGGAATTACTTTTGCAAGACTAAATTAAGGTAGCTTAGAAGCACAAAATGTTTTTGGAAGCCATTGTTTGATGTAGAAGCTTGGCTCCTTCTGGTATGTATCAGCATGATTGGAGTTGAGCAACATTGCCTTTTTTGATAACTTGCACAATATTAGAAATGTGACTAGTATAATAAGAGAAGCAAAATATACGTTCCCTCAGTTTCTTCATTCCTCTCCTGAAGGTATCGACGAGTGTACTTTTTGTTAAGTTGAAGATGCTACTAATAATTCTGTGATACCTTGCTTGAATGAGTGTTCCTCCCAAATTCATTTTGGAAGAGAGGGATGAATCTCAGCTGCACACCTACTCATGCAGTTGCCATCACTGTCACCAATGCTGGCTCTGCACGTTGAGGATTTATTTTGAGCTGGTCTTGGTTTATGTGGCGAAGTATCACGTGTGCATTTTATTTGTGAGCAACAGTATTATTGCAAATATAGAATGCATGAGTGTATTTAATTTTATATCCATGAAAATAAGTTGAGGATTGTCAAGAGCTCTTGATTTGAGTTGTTAAATGGCCAATTACATAGAACATAGAACAGTACAGCACAGTACAGACCCTTTGGCCCTCTATGTTGTGCCGACCTATTATCCTACTAAGATCAAACTACCCTGCATACCCTAAATTGTACTATCATCCATGTGTCTATCCAAGAGTTGCTTAAATGTCTCTAAAGTATCTGACTCCACTACCGGTATTCCACATGCCCACCACTCTGTGTTAAAAAGACAGTCTCTGTAAAATTACATGATTGGGTAACTCATTTCTATTTTGGTGAAACTTTCAGAATTTTCTTTGTCCTTTATTGGTTTTCAGTTTGTCTATTTAACTTTAAACGTAATACTTGCATGTTGCAATGTGTAATCAGTGCAATGATTCATTGGTGTTTGTCATTGGTGCAAATGTGCTAACCTAGAAGTAGGACATTTTCTGGTTGTACTTTATCATTACAGTATGTTGCATGACAGTGTGGCACCTGTCTAACCAGTTGTGTATTTTTGTTTTGATTTGAAAGGTAATTGATGCTTGTATAGGAAATATCATGGACACAGCTGAAGTTAACTCCTCCCTGAATATTGACAGAAATTGAATTGAGCCCAGAGTTTAAATCGGTGAGTCTGATTATAAGATTTAAAAAGCAAAAAATACATACTGTTTCCTCTCCTGTGGCTGGTCATTATAGTCAATCAAGCCTAGCCTGTATATCTGCATTCATGCCAACCTGGACTTGATTTACAAAGAAGCATGCTTGAAATACAGAAAGGTATTCATTTTATTTCCTCCCTTATCCCAATAACTTGAGTTATGCAGACATGTAACATTTTCATCTGACTGAGTTTACATCTTGGAAGTTCTGACCAATGGGTTGATATGCAAGGCTAGTTATGAGGCTGACTGCTACAGAAGGTATAACACCCATTATTTGGTACAGTTTTATTTATTAATCTAAAAATCCAGGTAGAGTTCTGGAAACTTGGGTTTGAAACCCACCACAGCAGATAGTGGAATTTAAATTCAATAAAAAATCAAATCTGGAATGAACGGTGACCGTTCAACCATTGTCGATTGTCGTGAAAACCCATCTCGTTCACTAAGCCATCCTTACCTGCTCTGGCCTACATGTGACTCCAGACCCACAGCAATGTAATTGACCCTCAACAATTAGGGACGGGCAATAAATGCTGGCCCAGCCAGTAACACCCACATCCTCTAAATGAATTGTAAGAATAGGTTTGACAAACTCAAATCAATTTCTTCAATCTGTCTGCATACAATAGTGGTTGCAGTCATGCTTGTTGAAGTTCTTCAGTGTGGGTGCTCCATGTGTTTCTGGCTTCTGTAACAGCTTGCCAATTTTGAGATGTTGCTGAAGAAAGTGTTATAGTGTTCTGACGATTATGTGATCAACAAAGTGTACTTCTCTGAGCTACTTGCACGATATGATGCTTTAATAAATTGCAGCCAATAACAGCTGAAGAGTCAGCAAAAAGAATAGATACAGTGTCAGGAGATTTCTAGTATGTAAAGATTACTGATATACTGTTACATGGTGTACCAGCAGAAGTGACTTTGATGCCCTTCACTCTTTCTTTCTTGGGAAGCTAGAATACCAGGAAGTTTTGAAGCCTGAATGCTAAATTCAGCAGAAAGCAGTGTATCTTGTTCAAGCCATGTCTATTCTTACAACAGAGCTAAATGAGTCAGTCTTTTTATTTTAAGTTAATTTTTTTTTAGGATGACTATCTGGAATTATTAATGGGCCACTGTCTTTAATGCCAAACAGGATACACGATGTTTTTTGTGTTTGTGTGAAACCAATTGATATCACATCTTGATACAATCCCAAAAGTTAAAATCTAAAGTAAGTCTATTGCTGACTACTCCTTGGTGCACGTTTGTCCTTCTATGTTCTGGCACTTAACTGGAGTATTCTGCTGTAATGAACAATGGGCTAGTTCCTACTACAGGTAGACAACAGTGCAATGTTGGTGCCACCCCAGACTGTTTTCAGGAATTGAAAAAGTTCATAGGACTTAAACTTCCTTTCTTGGTAGAAACATGGCCTTTTATATTTGGCAAGGCTGGCGTTGTCCAATTCTTGCTCTATGAGCAAGTGATGATTTTAGCTGGCCACCTGCCTTGCTGGATCACTTTGATGCAAAATTGCATGTCAAGCATTTTGGTTTGGGACCAAAATTACATAAATTACATAAATGCCAGATTCGGTCCATGCATGAGGTTTCCTTCTCTGAAGGACTGTAATGATCTAGTTAAGCTTTTATAGTGAGGCTTTGTGGTATCTATTTATTGATATCTATCGTTCCTTTAACAAAAATGAATTAAAAATTCTCTCTTCTTTGTGGAATTTGAACTCCAGGTTATTAGCCCTGGCTTGAAGAATTTCAACCTTCCGAACAATGTATGAGTGGAAAGCAAATGTAATTTGTTCTCTAGCCCAAAATTTCAAATTGCCAAAATTTTATGTGGCATAGTACTAAAACAACTGTGTGTGCTGTTTTTGAATTTATGCATTTTATGCTTCAAGTTGAGAGCTGTTTGCTTTCTCTGTCCTCCATTCTGTCTTCTCTTCCCAAGCTTTCTATTTGTACTATACCTGTTGATATTTAAAATTCAATTCCTGATGGCTCACGTTGAATTTATTGTCTGCAGTAGTATTGAATGTGTGGTTTCTTTACGGAGTTAGTTAACTGTAGTTGAGATTCTAGTGAAAACTCTATATTGGCTGCTGCACAAAAGGATGAGAGAGGGAAGGCAGAGTTCACATGATTTATTAGCTGGTAATTTGTTTTGCATACGTGCATGCTGAATCTGCAGTTGAATTAAGCCATAGCACTTTGGAAGCCAAATAATCAGTTGTTAATGGTCATTGTCAGGGTGGAAACTGTATATGTAACTTTTTTTCTTTCCATCAGACAATCCCATTGCTTAACACTTAGGTTAGTTGTCCTTTATTGCAACTAATTTAGTCACTTGGAAAAACTAGCTCAGACAGCAGGTGAGTAATCGACAGATTTTTACAGGAAAGTAGTGATAAATGAGTTGTGAGAAAAGAATGTTTGATAAAGTGCCAGGGAAACAATTTTTTTAAGAACTGAAGTTCCTGATTTAACGCATTAAAATTGGCTCTATTTGCAGTTACATGTGCATTCAACTCTTGATAACTTGAAATTACTTGTTAAACTGGATCATTTAAAATCTTTGTCGGAGAATTGTGAATTTGATTAGTCAAATCCTTTTTATATGAGCAACTCTAGTGGAGAGCTGTTCTATAACTCATCCAGCAATATGGAGTGCATTGAATCCTTCAGGATATTCATTTCTGTGACTGAATATTATGCTGTGTATTATTAACATTTCTTAAAAAAAATTTTAAACATTTTAACCATTTCTGTTAAACTAATAGACAAAGGAATTTTTGAACCAGTTGTATATGCTGCATTATGCAGTTGTTATGCCATTTTAGTTTTGAAGTTGTGGCAGGAATTTGGAAACTCTATCTGGTCTTCACTTTAAAAAAAAATATGACTGCTAAGCATAAAACCTTAAATTCACTGCTTGGTAGGTTTCTAAAACGTCACATTTGGGTGATTGCTCCATTTTCGGTATTAGCTTATTTAATCATTTGCAGGTTTCATGATGCAATTTTTTACACTGTTACTTAACTCTCCTTACACTCAGTAAATATTTTCTAATCAACCTGTTCAGAGATGTTATGACAAATCTCTGGAGCAGGTGGGACTTGAACCAGGTTTTCTAGCTCAGAGGTAGGGACAGTACAACTGCACCATACATCTTCTCTACACTTTGTATACTGTACCACTCACAATTGACCTGGATTTGAGAGGATATCCTTTTTGAGACATTTGAGCTGCCTACCTATCCCCACACGATATTGGGAATCCCCTGAGTTCTGTTGCTTGAGTTTTCAAATATCAGTCATAGTACAGCAAACCATTGCTATGTGTTGAAGCCAAGATGGTGCTTTCAGACGGAGAAGTACATGTAGCATGCTGACTTTGCATTGTGTGCTGCCCTTTTTTATTAAAAAAAATTGTTTGATGAAGGAGCAGCATTGTTTTTCTGCAGTTCAGTCCAGAGTTCATTTGGCAAGAGGTGTTCAAACTTGTTGTATAGGTTGGTGAACTGGTGCTCATTCAGCCAGCCAGAGGACTTGAGCTAGAAGAGCACTTCTATTGTTGGTCCAGTTTCTTAATTTGTCTAAAATGGTCCATTTTCTTTTTTTTGTAATTAAATAATAAGTGAACAGTAGGTTACACATCTTTTGTAGTCACATTGCATATTGTTTTCGTGGCCTGATGCAGTGAAACGTTATTGAATATTTCTTTAAAAGGAACTGTTTTTGGCATGTTTACAGCTCAAGTTAATTGGTCATATGATTTTTATCACTGCAACAATTTAGCAGTAACAGCACTGCACTACATTGGAAGAATCTTTCTTTCAATATAAGTAGTTACTTATGCAAACAAACTTTGTTCAATGTTGCTACATTCTAGTTGCACTGTTCTATGCATTTTAAAAAAGGTTTTTTTTTCTAAAAGACATTCAGAATTGATCTATTTGCTTTAAGTATTGCATCATATTACTTAACTAGAAAATATAACCACAGATGCAGTCCCAGTTACCAATTGCCATAAAACAATTTGGTTTGTTTTTTGAACAATGTATGGCAATCTTCGCTTGTGTGGGGAAGAAGGAATAGAACTATCCACTTAAAAAAGAATTCCAGGAACTTCCACAGTTGTTGCTGTCATTGTCTAAAATTTCACTCTACAAAATTTTTGCCAAATGGGGAAGTATCGACGATTTCATAGGAAAGGATGTCAATAAAATATCTCTGGTCGTACTTTTGGATTTGGGCCCTTGTCCTTGTCAGTTTACAAGCTCAGTTGTTGCTTTTGCAGAAATTCTGCAGCGACAACAAAATAAGGCATGAGTTAGTGGTACAACCTGGGAGCTGGCTTGCAAGAAATGATAATTTTACTAAAATTTGAATTAATGTTAGACACAATCTTTTATTGTCAATTTGAACGCAACTTAATAGCTTGTTACAAATGGAGGGAAATGATTTTGTAGTTGTGATCTTGAAGACCTGTGGGTTTTCATTTTGGCAGTTTTTCAAATCAGTATGCAGACATGCAAGACGAATTTAAACAGATGTAGCCGTCATTGTGGTGCTTCTCCCTTTACCTTTGCTTCCCAAATAATGCTAACACTAACAAGCGTTCTATTTAAATAAAGTATCAGATGGTTTTATTTCGAGGTTCTTTTCGACAGATCAGTCACCTTTATTTATTTAAGTCTGTTTAAGTCCCAGAATCATTTTCATCTTGTCTATTTCATTTAATTTTTTTGTCAAGATTGATGGCCCAGCATATGCATTTTCATTTTACTGATCTTGCATGTCCTGCACAGGCTTACGTTGTTCCTTTCATGTTCTGCATTAGTTTACTTTTCATTTGGACAAAGCTGTCTTGCTCTCCTGTTGAACAAAAACCTCTTGTTGGTTCAGGATTATATGTTGCTTCCCCCATAGCATTATCCTTCACCTGAAAGATCTGGCCTGTGACTC